TCAGGCCCGCAGTGGAACTGGCCATCTCCTGCTTCCAGTTCTGCTGCTGCTGCTGCATCATAGCTTGCTTCGCCAGACTCTCTTAATCACTCAGCCATTTCATGTTTTAACCTGGGTGCTAGACTCAGAACTCTGAGCATGAGATTTCTGTGGCGAATGTCAATAAATCAAAAGTAGGTTTGCAGCTCACAGAGCTAATGTTTTAAGCACGTTTTTATTTTAAGTAAAAAAAACCCCTTTGTGTCCTTTATAACATTTATATCTCCGCTACCTGGCATTACCTTTTATGACACACATGACCCGGCCCAACGAGGTCTCATTTATGTCAGATCTGGCCCTCTTAACAAATGAGTTCGACACCCCCCGGGGTAGGGGTTACAGAGGGTGGAGGGGGTGTGAGAATGCCGGATTTCATACTGTCCCATTGCTGCCCTCAACCAAATGCCTGTCGGAACATCTCTGCTTTGCATGCCCTGCGGAACGATAGTAACTCCTGCAGGGCACGGATGTTCTCCAGCAGAGAGTTCCCCCAGGCTTTTTCAGCCCCGGCCCTAGTTGAAGACAGCCAGATCTCTCTCGGACTGGGGACCACCAGGAGGTTTTTATTCCCTGAGAGTAACACTCTTCTGGGGGCAAACTGAGAGAGGCAGTCCCAAAGGTATGTGGGTCCCTGACTACTAAGGGCCTTAAAGGTCAAAACTGACCTTGAACATGATCCGGTGCTCCACCGGGAGCCAGTGCAGCTCACACAGCACAGGTTGGATGTGTGCCATCCGGCGGGTCCCCATGTGGACCTGCGCGGCTACATTCTGGACCAGTTGTAGCTTCCGGGTCAGCCACAAGGGTAGGCCTGTGTAGAGTGAATTACAGTAGTCTATCCCGGAGGTGACCGTTGTGTGGTTTACTGTCACTAGGTTGGGGTGAGGCAGGTAGGGAGCCACTGGCACAGTTGGAAGAACAGCAGCCTGGCAACCTTCATGACCTGGGGGCCACCACAGACAAGGAGGCATACAGAGTCACACCCAGACTCTTGACGGTTCGTGCCACCCTCAAGTGTTGGAAGTTGGCAACCCAACCAAGGATCCCCCCCCACCCAGCCACAGAACCTCCATCTTACCCGGATTCAGT